AAGAGCAAAGCATGTTTGCAGAGGTTATTATGAAAGACAAACTGCTGGTATGAGTGATGAGTAAAAGCTTAATTGGCATCCTATAATGAGCATAATTATAAAGTCAATACACATTAGAAACTTATTAAAACAAATAATTGACTAACAACTTCCAGGTCAACAAAGAGCAACAAGAAATTAACGCACTAATTAACTCGAGACAGATTTTTAAGACAGAAAATATTACTAAAAAAAAATCAATCAATCAATCAAATATACATCCCCAAACAAGTGAGTATGGAGCAGACATGTACCCGCCTTTGTCTGAAGGATGATGCACATTTACCACTATTTAACGTACCTATCATTGGTTAATAAACTCATTAAGGATTCATTAAACAATCCCAGAGTTTGATCATTTCCTACTGGGCATAAAGGCAAAAGAAACTGAACGACTGAGCTTTTTGTAGATAAAATGCATTTTACTTGTTAGATGAGCACGCGGCTGGTGGGAGTTCTAGTTCCAAAACACAGCAAAGTAAGAAAGTGAGTCATAAAAGAAAATATCTCAGTGTGTGGAAAAATAGTCGATGAATCACTCGGACGCAACTCCCCAGTCAAATTTCCTGAAATGTAATATCCTTTTGTTATTTAAGATGCTTCTGTCTCACTTATCGTGCCTTTAACACAATAGAAGATGGCCTCTGTATAGAAAATGCATTTAGCCTGACTAAAATAATGCCCTTGCCCCCGCGTGGCACAACTTCAAGGTTATGAAAGGGTGATTTATTCATGGCGTGTCATACCTCTTCCCCCGGGTAGATGCTGTGGCGGATCCCTGTACGTCTGGCCTTGGCACTGCACTTACACAGGGGACCATCATTCATCTGGACAGAAAGAAAATACGTAAATCAGACAGAACTGCTTCACTTGCCGTGTATAACACAGGGGCTGCTCAACATTTTACATCTCTAAACTGCAGACTCCTGACCTTTATTTCTTAGCTGCAGTTTGAAGTTTTGACTTTTTAAACTTCACTTTGTGACATTGTCTCCGCAATACATATCCTCACAATAAAACTGCAATAAAACCTATAAATTTATTACACACTGTCTTTCCATCAAGTGGAAATGACATTTATTCAAAGCAGAAAGAGGAAGAGTGCAACTGACATAGACGAGACAACAATACCCAGAATACCTAAAATGTGAAAGTCGGCTGTCCTGTCACCGCAACCAAAAAGCCAATAAAGACCCAAACCAGGAAACCTGTGAGCCAACCACGTTCCATTGACACGAGGGTCACGGCAGTTTCAAGTGGTTGGTGGCAGACTTATTCACACATCAGTAATTTCCCTTGCAGTAAAGATGTAGCTAGGTGTATCCAAAACATGAATTAGCATGGCATTGTTCACTTCATTGGCTTCCTGTTAAATCCAGAATTGAATTCAAAATCCTGCTCCTCACAT